TGTGCTGAGCCGGCGGGGCTGGCCGGAGGCTGGAGAGCGGGACATGGTGCTGGAGCCCCCCGTGACGCTCCCCGGGTGGGCAAGGGGCGGCTGGTGAGGAGCTGGAGAGCGGCGGCGGAGCGCGGCCACGGTGAGGGAGCCCCGAGGATCCGGCTGGGGAGCCATGGGGAGATGCAACGGGCGATGCACGCTGGTGGGATTCTGCTGCCTGCAGCTGGTAAGGCTCATCGGCATGCCGGGGGTGCTTTGTGCGAGATGCTGCCTGTCATCGCTCCCCTCGCCGCCTCCGCGGTGACCTTGCGTTGGGACCGGCTCGCCATCACCCAAAAAAAGCCCGCAGAAAAGGAAAAATGCTGATCTAAAAGACAGGCAATGGCACCCTCATCTCCTGCCTGGAGCCAGCGCTGGCCGGGGAGATGGATGGGGACCCTTTCCCTGCGCTGTCAGTGCCCGAGGTTGCGTCTCCAGCAGGTGTGAGCTTTGTTCCCAACTGCAATCTCTTCCCTCCGAGTTCACTCCCGCCCGCGCTTTCCCGTTCTGGTGACTCCACGGATGTCTCGGGGTGCCGGTCCCCTGAGTCGGGGCGAGAGGGAAACTTGGAGCCGCTGGCAGCACTTTGGAAACTCTCCTGCTCCTGAGCGGGACCCGGCTGCCCGCGGCGGGGGCACCGCGGGATGTGGCGGCAGGGAGAAAGGAGAGGCTTGATGTGAACGGGCTCGTCGGGTTCCGTGCCAATTCCGTGCCGCTCTTGCCGCCGCCCGCGAATCAATCTTCATCAGGCTCTGCCACAGGAGCCGGCGAACGGAGCGCGGGGGGGATCCGGGGGGTTTCTGCTCAAACCAGCGCCGCCGAGGTTGCGATTAATTATCCCGGCAGGGTGGTGCGTTAATGGAGAATCAGCAGCCTCCAACTCGCCCCCGCGGCCGTGCCGGGCTCGTCACTGCTGAGATCTGCGGGGTCAGCTCGCCGTGTCCCCGGGGACGGGGGGTGATGGATGGATGGATGGATGGATGGATGGACGCGGCGATGGGAACGGGCTCCGGAGCCCCCCGGAGGTGGTGCTGGCATCCTGCTGACAGGCGCTTTGCTCCCGGCTCTTGTCCGTTCCGCATCCTCCAGGAGGCAGCGGGTGGGGAGGGGTCCCCACTGCTGGAGGGGGGTACACGGAGTGTTGCTGGGGGGATGAAGGCAGTGCTCAGCCCTGGGCAGCGGAGGCACAGGGGGATCATCCCCAGGCTGGAGCCCCCGTTCCCAGCGGGGGTGGCCTCTGTGTCCCCAGCTGTCCCCTCGCTTCGCTCCGTGAAGTCTCGCTCGGCGCTTCGCTCACCTGATTCAGGATAAATCCAGCGGGGCTTTCCCGGCTGGGCAGGAGTTTCCTGGCGTTTGGTCACATTCCTTTCTACCACTCAGATTCCAGCAGCTTTGTTGGTGATTATTCCCCGAGATATCCCGGATCCGAGAGATTTTAATCTGTTCATTCCAGGGGAAGGCTGAATCGAGCTCCGGGGCTGGGAGAGCAGCTCCTGCTCACAGCCAGAGGAACTCTGTGCTGCTGACTGGGGTCAGGCTGTCCCCTCCACCCTCACCCCGTGTGTCCTGGTGCTGTTGGCATCCCCAAAGGCTCCAATCCCTTACCAGGGACCTTTCTGCTGCAGGCTCACCCTGAACCAGCTCATCCTTTGGGATGCTCTCCAAGGCTCCTTCCCGGTTTTGGAGGCAGCAGCTTCCACCCCTCCCAGCCGTGGGGAGATGCTCCCGACCCTCAGCTCCTCATCCCGGGGTGAGGGGTCTGCGAGCCCACCCAGGGCCCGGCGCTGAGCCAGCCCCACAGACTGGAGGTGGCAGTGCCACCCAGGCATCCCCTGGGGTGAGCGGGGCCACCCTGAGGTGACCCAGCTGCAGAGCTGAGCTTTGGGATGAAGCCACAGGGAGCGGGGATGATTCCAAATCTGCTCCCCTCCTCTGCCTCACCCCCTCCATGGGGATGGCACCTCCCCGTGTGCCACTGTCACCTCGTGGCCACCTTTCATGTCCCAGTTGGTTTCCCAAAATTCATAACCTGCTCCCGGGGATGCCGTGGAGGCTGCAGGGGCAGCTGGAGCACCCACTGGGCACAAGGATCCAGAGGGGCCCCGATCCAGAGGGGCCCTGCAGAGCCCTGCCCGCTCCACCCCACACCCGAGCCACTTTGGGAAACTGTTTTTTGGGCCACGGCACCACAGGGAGCTCCTTTGGAGCATCCAAACGTCCTCCAAGCTCCCTCACCCTGGCGCGGCCGTGCTGTGAGTGCCGGGTGACTCCAGTCCCGGGGACAAGCAGCACACCCCAGAGTTTGCCTCCACTTGTGGTTTTATCCCTGGAAAAATCCACTTGCCAAACACCCACCGGCCCTGCCCCGCCTCGGGAGGGGCCACCAGCAAATATTCATCATGAGATGGTATAAAATAAACCTCCGGGATTTGCTGGTTTTCCCATCAGGAAAGACACAAACTCTGTGAGCCTTTGGTGTGGGATTCACCTTTTCCTTCTGGGAAATGGGAGCTGCTCGGGGGTGGGATGGGACAGGGACGGGAGGTGACACCGCCCTGGATGGGATAGGGACGGGAGGTGACACCGCCCTGGATGGGATAGGGACGGGAGGTGACACCGCCCTGGGTGGGATAGGGACGGGAGGTGACACCGCCCTGCTCGGGGCACAGCGTTCATTCACTGACTCTGCAGCCTGGTGGTGCTGGGACGGCTGCGCTGCTGCCCGGGGCTGTGCCAGTGATACAGGACATGGGGATATCGGGATATGATGATATCAGGATTTATCAGGATGTCGGTTTATCAGGACATTGGGATATCGGGACATCGGCATATCGGGATGTTGGCCTATCAGGCTTTCAGGCTATCAGGATATTGGGACATTGGGATATCAGGATATCTGGATATTCACTGCTGGCAGCTCTCAGGCCGGCTCTGCCCAGCTGCTGTCGCGTGTCCCCGGCCCACCCCGTGCTCTGTGCCCTGTGGGCATGCTCAGGATGCTGCGGCTGCTTTTCCTCGAGCTGGCTCCTCCATCCCTGGTGTCTCTTCCATCCCGAGCCGGCTCCTCCATCCCTGGTGTCTCCTCCATCCCCACCCGGCTCCTCCATCCCGGCCCGGCTCCTCCATCCCGGCCCGGCTCCTCCATCCCCACCCGGCTCCTCCATCCCGACCTGGCTCCTCCATCCCGGCCCGGCTCCTCCATCCTGAGCCAGCTCCTCCATCCCGGCCCGGCTCCTCCATCCCGGCCCGGCTCCTCCATCCCGGCCCGGCTCCTCCATCGGGCCGTGGCGATGCCCGTGCCCGCTCGCTGGGTGGGGACAGGGGCGCTCCGTGCTCCCACCTCGGGCTGGCACAGTCGGGAGCCGCTTCCAACCGGGGTCTCGTTTTTTTCTTTGTTTCTCTTTTCTCCTTTAATTGGCTGGAAAAGCAGAGCTGGGTTGGCACCGGAGCCTGCCAGGCTGGCGGGACCCCGCTCCTGCGGCCTTGGGGGGCAGGAGAGGGGCCGCGGGTCCGTCCCGTCTTCTCCCCGAGCCCTGGGGTTTGCTCGGGGCACCGGGAGCCTCTGGAATGGATCCCCGGCTCCGAGCCTGGAGAAGGAGCTCAGGAGTTCGGCTTCACGGGGATGGGTGCAGGGGGGAGGATGATCCTTCATCCCCCGTCCTGCTCGACCCCTCTGCACCCCCGGGGGCTCCGTGGCCCTCCCGTCCCCGTCCGTCCTCCCTTCCTGCTCCGATTTCCCTGGATTCGGGCAGCACCGGGAGCACCGGTGGGAACCACCCTCCTCCGACATCTGCCGGCATCTTTTGTCCTCGCCCGGCTCCGGGACCCCGGGGCCGCCCCCGGCCTCATTCCCCCCACCCGGGAAGGGGGAAAGGAACCCGGGCTGAACTCGGGATGGAGGTTTTCAATTACACAATTAAATGCACAATTAGGTGTAATTACCAGCGCTCAGAAGGTGCGAATGTTCATAATGGGCTTGTAATCTACTGCCGCCACTGTTTGTACTGCTCCGCTCCGCTCCCTAATGATTATGGAAAGCTTTCCCATTTGCATGGTTGCCATGGAAATGGGGGGCTGGCAGGAGCGCGGGGATGGCGAGGGGAGCCCCGCACGCCCCTGAGCCCCCTCGCAGCCCCACATCCCCTCGCCGTGGGGTGGGAGAGACCCCTGCGGCTCGGTGGGGTCACAGGAGCCGGCATGGAGGGACCTTCCAGGGATGAGATCCCCAGGGATGAGATCCCCAGGGATGAGGATCCCCCAAGGATGAGGATCTAGAGCAGGCCCCAGAGTGGGAAATATGGTTTAAAAGGCTGAGAACCCCATCCCATCCCATCCCATCCCATCCCATCCCATCCCAT